AAATAAACAATGAAATAAATTAATAGGAACTACCTGTAATGGCAAATAGTCAGAAATAGTAAGAACTGCTCTAGCTACAGATTCTAACATCCTTCAAATCTTCTTAACATATAAAGAATTAAATAGGCAATTCAAAAATGAACAAGAAAAGAGATATGCTGAATTACAAAATGGTGAACCTTATGTAATAAAGGTTAATAATATTATTCTGAGTAATAAGAATATTGGGCTAAAAATGGTACTACATATAACACTTGGTTTGTATATTAACCAACCATTGTATGGGCACAATGGTAAAAGGAATTAGAAAATAAATAGAATATTACAAGAACTTGCAAGAGTGCAAGAAATAAAAATCAGATAGGCTATAATACATATAGATATCTTAGCTAGAGATAAGAAATGATCAGACATAATCGACAATATTAATGAAATATTACGTGTAATTAACAAAAACCAATAGGATATCAAATTACTATTAGAAAACTCAGCTAGCAACAATTGCTTTGGTGCAACCATTCCAAACCTCATAGATATAGTGAATAGTACAAGTTAAGAGTTAAGATACAAAGATAAGGCAAGACTAAAGAAGTGAATAGACATATGCTTTGATATACAGCACTGGTATGCTACAGGGCAAGGCAAACGAATAGATGAATATAGAAATGTACTAAGAATGTACGGACAAGAAATCATGTTAGTACACATGAATAACAGTCTGCCGGAAGTGATATTCTGCAGAGGAATAGACAAACATGAGCACTTATTGGATCCACAAGCAAGTATACTACAAGAAGTATACCAAATGATTATACAGTATAAAGAGGTCTATGCTGCACTAGAGATACCATTAAATAAAATAGCTAATCAAATAGCACAAATACATGAAATCTCTAAACTTAGAGAATGGGCAAGAGATATACTTTAAGAAGAAACTCTTCAAGAAGAATGGTCTAAAGAAAAATACCAAAAATTAAAAGAAAACAAATCCTTTTATTAAGAACCAGGATCATCAGAAATGACAATTCCATTGGGAATAGAATTTGATAACCTAGAAGTAACACTACTTGCAGAACAATTACAACGAATAACAGTTGCAGCTGAACATGAAATACCAAAAAACAAACAGGAACAGAAATTAAATCAACTATATTTGGAAGCAATACAAAGAGAAATAAATCAATTTAGAAAACAAGTGATAGGGAAAGATAATACTAAAAAGGATAAAAAAGGAAAAGCTAAAAGCTTAAATATTACCTTTAACCAACAAGAGAGAAGCAAAGTCAAATCACCTAAAATTGGAACATTTATCAAAACACAATTGTCACAATTGAATCAAATCCTACAACAAGAAAAAGAACAAAAAGATCCTAAAATTAGAACCGGATTAAGACAGCTGAAACAACAATTAAAAAGTATGAAAACAAATTATAAATATGTTTCCCAATTATCAAGACAACAAACTAATGAACATATTAAAGAAATCGAAAGGGTTATGAATAGAAAAATAAAAGAAGCAGAAACAACTGAAGATAAAAAAGTTTATCTATACAAAACAATATCTGTATTAACTGAACAAAAGATGCTATTCTCTGGAAGAATAGAGATCTAGTGAAAGATATAGAAGAAGATTATGCATATACAACTAATGCTGCATTAAACCTAGATAGAAAAGACTTTGAAGAAATGCAAGAGTATGAACAATGAATCCTAATAGAAAGATTTGCTAGACAAATGAAACAATGTGAAAGCGAACCATTACGAGAACAATATCAAGCAAAATATAGAGAACTATTGGGAGTATCTCTAGAAAATCTAGATAAAATGCATGATATAGAAGATGAAAAAGAATGAATGTTTCAAGAACAACAAGGAACCAGAAGACAAGGCTTAGAATTACCAGAAACATTACTACCAAAACATCCATATTATGAAGAATATAAACCAACAGTAAATGAACCATGAGAAACAGAACAAATGGCAGATAGATGGCTATTAGATGATAACTTTGGAAGGATACTAGAATGGTTAAACAAACAAGACAAAGACCAATATACTAAAATATCAGAACAAACAATATCTAGAACAACAACAAGACCAAGCTCAACAACATCACCAACTTTTCTTGATAAAGCAAAAGGGATGGTACAAGATACATTAAGTGCAGCACAACAAATATTAAGTAGAAGAAACTCAATACAATCAACACAATTATTATCTCATTCAAAACAACATCAACATAAATCATCACCACTAATAAAAGAAGTATGACCAACTGATATAATATCAGAATCAAGTAGTCTTTACGCACCAATAAGTGATTATGACCAACCAATATTACCAAAATATAGTCATAAAAGACAAAGGTCACAACTCTCAAATCAATCGTCCTCAATAAGAAATCTGAAATTAGAACAATTTTGAAGAGAAAATCAACATAGACAAAAACTATTCAGGCAAACAGAACAAGAACAATTAAAACCAGAAGATGCACAACAAATGGCTGAACTAGATGAATATATACAAGAAGATACAAATAATTATAATGATTATAGTCAAAATAATTATAATAATCAACAAGGAGAATTATATGATCCAAATAATGAATATGAAGCAGGAGAATCATCCCTATGATATAATCCCAAAGAAACCAAATAGACACAAACTATAGAATCAGAATGGAATGGACAAAAAGTTCTATATCCTGTACCAACAGGACCAAAAACACTAACTGTTGATGACTGGAGAGATGTTTTCAAGCATACAGAACCAGTACATGCATGGACAGAAAATGAAAAACATGAAAAATATTTAGAAAAACTAGCTGAACATTAAACTAAAATTGATGAAGATTCAGAACCAGAACAAGAATATGGCGTACCTGGAAATATATCAGATATAACAGATGTAAATCTTAATTTCTATAGAGAAATTAGAGAACAGCACCCAATCTATATCAGACATATTATATTACCAACCATATAAGAAGAAAAAAATGCAAAATACCAAATATTAGCCAATAAAAAAACAGATATACTACCTATGACTATAGGGCATATAAAGATCCAAAAACCAATAAAAGAAGATCTTTATATAGGGACCACAGCTAGAGAAGCTAAAGAAGCAATAATTGTGCAGCCTGGAATAGCAAATGGAAAATATATAACAATAATAAACTACTTTGATAGGAAGTTCAAAATTAAAAAGGAACAACACATAGCGAATGGTGACGAATCAAAATTAAAAATTTTGACGCAAAGAAATGGAAGAATTTTGAACCGAAAATTAATCAAAATTTTCTTCAAAAGTTACCAACTTTCGATGAACCCATCAAAAGCGAAAAGAAAAGAATAAAAATACTTCAAGACCGCTGTCTTGAAACTGAAGGACCTGAAGTATGAAATTAATCAGACATATTTT